CCTGATCAGACCATTACGCCACACTGGCTCTAACTAGAGCCTAAAACTTCCATATGGACTTTATTTCCAACATCATATTGTTTTCAGGAATACCAATCAGCAGCGGCCTTTAATGCCGTTGTATCGCTTTGATGAAGCTTGTATTACTTGAATCTACCATGGATCATTAAATATAAAATGTAGACTAAAGCCAAATTAATTTAAAGCGCTTAAGTGAGCAAGGCAAAAGAAATGGCAAGAGCAACAACCGGGGGGGGGAAAAAATCCATGACTGTTTGTACCAAGGGCAGCCGCTAAGCCTTGTCGTGCTGGCCTCATTCCCTCTCTTGATAAAGCAGCTGTGGGAGTCTTTGTTGAGCACAAAATAGATGGATAGGCTTCTTTTATACTGCAGGGCTGCCACAGCATTATGTTATCTCAGTGTTTTCCAGATGTGCTGTATTACTGCAGAAGTCTGATAAAAAAAGGAAAAGGAGGAAGAAGAGATAATAGCAGAATGCACAGGGCCAATTCCTAGGTCTTTCTCCTATGCGAACGTAGGAACATGATCGTGTCTGTCCTCATTACTGCCTGGTCTCTGAAGCATCATGTCAAGAGGATTGCTTTTGTTTCCAACTGGCAAAGGTGGGTGAGATCAGGCAATGATAGGGATGCTCCTGCCCATCCTTGTATGCAGTTAGATGCTTTCAGGTTGCTGCATTTCTAGATTTAGGTCACTAGTAATTGGATATGTATGGAATACGCACAGGCTCTGCAGAGCTCGCTGCATTTGCTCATATGCCCATTTGGCAGCTGTCCTACAAAACAGAGCGGCTGGAAATGTAAAGCTCCAATTAAACAGGAAGGATCCCACTACACAATTAACTCTCACCCGTAAGGCTCTGAACAGAATGGTACCTCTATGCACCTCAGGGAATATTTTTGAAATGGGGTGAGTTTTTCTTAGCACATTATTACTTCCACAGGATTTTGAAAAGAGCCTTTGAGAGGCAGTTTCATCAGTAGGATGGCTCTGACCAAATGTAATTCCATTTCTAGGTTCAATGTTGTGCTGCGGGTCTAATTAGAGGCACACCCTCCACCTATGGAAGGTGTAGAACATAAAAACTTAATGAAATATTTCCAAACCGAAATAATAAGAGCTCCCTTGGAATACTTCACAACCGATGGGGAAATCAACCTAAATATGTAAGGGAGAGACTACAGTCAGAAAAGCAAAGTAGGAACCTCTTCCAAGCAATTTTATTTTATGCAGTTTGAAACACTGACCATGCTGGCTGCTCTGGAACTTCAGTCCAGAAAAGACCTATGATATTTCTAAATTCCGATTTTATTTTTTTAAAAAACAAAGACTTCTCTATTTTTACTATTTTTTTTTTCTAAATGATACCATCAGGAGTACTCTTTATTCCAATTAGAGCAATTCATCTACCAGTGACTGAAATATCTGTTCATAGGGACTGGTAGATGAATTGCTCTACTTGAAAAGGAAATATTATTATTATTATTAWTAWTAWTAWTAWTAATAATAATAATAATAATAATAATAATAATTAATAACAATAATTCCAAGTGCAGACTCTGCAAGGAGGCAGACGAAATAATGGATCACATACTCAGCTGCTGCAAGAAAAACACGCAAATGGACTACAAGCAGAGACATAATACTGTTGCTCAGATGATCCACTGGAACTTGTGCCACAAATATCATGTCTGTGACAAAAAACTGGTGGGATCACAAGCCTGAAAAACTTACAGAAAATGAATACATCAAACTGCTCTGGGACTTCTGAATCCAGACTGACAGAGTTTTGGAGCATGATGCTCCTGACCTCATGATCGTGGAAAAAAAACAAAGTATGGATCATTGACGTTGCATTCCCAGGCAACAGCAGAATTGACGAGAAGAAACTGGAAAAGCTTACACAATACGAGGATTTAAAGATCGAAATACTTTGGCCCAAGCCAGTCAAGGTGGTCCCAGTGGTGATCGGCCTTGGCCTACACTTAAGAACAATAGGGCACAGAAAAAATTACTATCTGTCAGCTGCAAAAGGCCACCCTACTTGGAGCTGCAGACATTATTCATTGATAATCACAGTCCTAGACACTTGGGAAGTGTCCAACGTTTGATCAAATATAAAAGCCAGCATAGTGATCTTATTTGTTGTGTATCAAATAATAATAAAAATGAATACTTATTATTTCTTACCCCTCTTTCCTTGCGGCGAGGTGGGATGCACAATGCAGATGTAAAACACAATTTAAGCCTACATTCATGTCAGGTCCTAGTTTGTACATGGTTGCAATTGCCATATTAGTAGCAGCCTGTGAGAAAAGTTTAATAGGTTCATTTTCAAGGTAACACAGGAATTAAACTGATATTATATTCAAGTTGAAGATAGAGAAAATAATCTCAGAGTCATAGTGAGTTATCCCGTAGTCTGATAGGTATAAAGCAAATTAAATGTTAATAAGCCTACCTCTCGGCCTTTCCTCTATGTTTAGGATACCCCTAATTAAAAATAAAAGATGTTAAGCCAATGGTTTGTGCACATCTGTGTTATGTACATGTACATCTGCCTGAGTATTATCTATTCACTGGTCTGAATGGAACTATTTTTGAGTAGGCACTAACCTACAGCTGCTTTTATAGTATTTTAAGCAAATCATTCTGAAAATCTACAAAGTAAGGTTTTCAAAGCTTTGTTCTAAGAAGTACTCAGATACTTTAATTATTTTAGCAATATTGCTTGAAGTCATATGGATCTTATCAACGAATAACTGCCTGACTTAAATTAGCACTTCCAATTAAATGGAAGATTAAAGTAGACGATTAAACCAGTTACTGCAAATATCAGCTGAAGTTATATCTTTTTTCAGTTAAGAGCAACTGCAAAACTTATCGTTCTGGTTATGACTGTTGTACACAGAACAACATGGTTTTACCTTTTTCCTATCCTGCTGCAATCCCAGTGACAAGTGCTCCTTTGTACTTTCTCTTAGTCCCAAGAGTAAAGGAAGTTCTCAATAGTACTAATGAAAGCTTCCCCATTAAGGCTAAGAATTGTGGTTTATTTTTTATCAGGACTGTAGTAGGGATTGAAAGGGTTAATCTCATTTTTTTGCTGCCACTCTGCTAACAACCCCCATCTTCCCAATGGCTACGTTTTTAAAAAAATGCATACACACAAAGACACAACTTCAGGCAGTAAGTTCAACATCACATCTATTTTGCCCTAATTTTGCCAGAATGCTTTCATTCTTTGTACTGGAGGGACTTGTTTGAAACAGTAATTCTGTGGCTCTTACAAGAAGCCTTATATACTTGGCTAATATTTATTATCAGAATAAAAAGGTTACAAGAAACAAGTGATACAACATTTAGTCTTGTATTTTCAGTGTTCCACGTAATAACGCAGAAGATTATTCATCAACAGCAGAAGATTAAAGGGAGAAAGAAGCCAAAGGCACATTCTTCTCTTTCTTCTTTTCCAAAACTCATTGTTAATGCAAAATCTACAATGTACCAACAAAATGGCACAACATATTACATAGGAATTACGACACCAAAAGCCAGGTCCCACATTCTCTTCCCACTCAACTTTTATACATGTATCATAGAGAAAGATGTGAAAACGAGATTTCAATTTGCACTTTCTTTAAACACATTATAATAGTAAGCAGACAATCTTTTAAAATACTCATAACAACATTCCTCCCCACCCACCATTGCTAGGTCCATTTGATTATGCTCTGGTGTTGCCCTTGTTACTGAAGCTGAGAACCCAACTAGGACAGAGAAAAAGAGAGACATGGTCAACTGTGTCAAGTTTCATGTGGCATGTTGGCACTTTTGACCAAACAGCCCTCAGGGATTAGAGCAAGTCTAAACTAATTTTCGCTGTTAGCCAAATAAGCAATTGATCCCTCAGGTACAAATTAGTCTAGCCTACCACCCAGGGAGCCTAATACCTCAAGGCATACATGTTTAAAATCTCAGCCCTCAAAGTTTCCTTCATTTGGAAAATAAAGATAAATTGAGAAAAGCAAACAAGAGGCAGGATCGGAGAATGGCAGCAAATCCATTCTTTTTCTCTGTGAAGCAGAAATGATAGCATTAAGGGTACATTTGATTTTCTATATAAGGTGCAAAGTATAACTCGCCTAATGCAAACCATCTTGTTAGCGAGAGATCAGTTTGATTCCCAGGTGGTAAAACCAAATCCTTAGAATGTAAACATTAACAGGTTTTCAAAGCAAGTGGCTTTTCAGAGCCTGAAGCCAGCTGGCCTATAAACTTGGTGCTCAATTCTTCCTCAGTTCCCAATCAAGAGTAGCTACTCCTTGGCTATATTTTATTATTATTGCTTCTGCCAATTAAAAAAAAAGTGTTTGTTTTTTAAGCAAAGATGTTAAAATCAGATATGCAAATTGAACCCAAAACCCTGTGGACAGCCAACGGGGCATCAAAATTCTATATAAATATAGAATACTTCTTTTTCTTGCGTGATATCTAAATTCCTTCCTGGGCAGATACTAATTCTGACAAACATCTGAAAGCATGATCAATTTCAAAAACAGGCTTTGCCTACTACTAGATCTGCTTCACCAAGAGGAAGAATTCACAAACATTTGGGTTAGAAAGATAAGTCCCATCATAATACCTGTTTTCCAATTTTCTTGATTTTTTAAATAAAAGGACTTTGATAAACAGAGCAGAATTCAATGTAGAAGGCTTTCATGGCCGGAATCATTGGGTTGTTGTAGGTTTTTTCGGGTTATATGGCCATGTTCTAGAGACATTCTCTCCTGACATTTTGCCTGCATCTATGCAGAGGTCTGAGGATGCTTGCCATAGATGCAGGTGAAACATCAGGAGAGAATGCCTCTAGAACATGGCCATATAGCTCGAAAAAACCTACAAAAACCCAGAGCAGATTTTACAGTTACTGATGAAAACTAACATGTCTATAGAAAGAACCTACTAAGTACATCTCTTTTGATTTTAAAATCACATGGCAAAAGAGTAATTTCAGAACACATCTGTGCACACACTGGGATACCTCAGACTGAAAATGGAAGGATAGCTTTTTCTCATGTGATATACAGTACTTTCAATAGCAGCTGGAATATCAGAAATTAGTAACAAGCAACAGATTAAATAATACACATACACTATGCGCGCACACACACACATATCTATTTATGGCCAGCTGTCCCAATAAAAAGGCTGCTTTGTCTGAGAAGTAGCTCATCAGAGATCATCTTAACCATTTTGGCAATACACACCTTAAATAACATTCTGAGTTATCTAGTGCAAAGTTTAGTTTGTTATATTATACCAGTTTCATTCCTCAGTTCTTATAAGCCACAAAAGGTTTACTATGCTCTCCACATTTTTTTGCTATAATGTTAAAAGTCAATTACTTCTCACAAATAGCACTTTGTTAACTAGTGTGCTGTTTTAGCTGTACATTCATGAGACTCTCCATTACACCACACAGTTTTTGGTCATGCTCCAGGAGACCAATCTCACACAATGCCCTGTCTTGAACGTCAAAGTCTTTTCAGAGCGAGGCAGCGCTGCTCCACGTGACATTTAGCATGTCATTTTTGCCACTCCGTACTCCAGACTGACAACGCCGGGCTCTGTCTTGGAGAGCTCTTCCATATATTCACTGTACCGATTGTCTGCTGCATTGGAGCCCTCTATCGTCCGAATGCAGTCATTCCCCGGTAAAAGAGGCTGCGCTTTCTTAAAGCACTCCAATGTTTTAAGGACTGGTGAAACTGGACAAATAGACTGTAAAGGCTCCTTGGTGAAGACATCATCCTTTTTTGCCCGGTGCTCTAGTTTCTGGGATGAAGGGGAATAAGACAGGTTTTTAGTTAATCCTTTACTTTTCCACTCTAGATCCTAACATGTCATTGTTCGCACACAATCATTCACCTATTTGACTGCTCTCCTTCCCTGTGAACATACAAAAATGCCCTGTACAAAGTCCAGTAACACTATGTAACATAATTGTTGTTGCTGGGTTATAAATGTAATTTCCTAATTGGTTCTATCATATAGGAATGGAAAAGTTTATTAAACTCCAAAAACTTTGTTTTTGCGGGACAGCCTATAGTTTTCAATGAATATCTCTGAGTCTCAGCCAATTCAACATTATATTGTCGAAGGCTTTCATGGCTGACGTTTCTCTTCTGATGTTTCGCCTGCATCTATGGGCAAGCATCCTCAGAGGTTGTGAAGTCCACGTGACATTTAGCATGTCATCTCACAACTTCTGAGGTGAAACGCCAGGAGAGAATGCTTCTAGAACATGGCCATATAGCCCGAAAAACCTACAACAACCCAGCAATTCAACATTGTTTGTGGCAGCCACAAAAACCAAGTTTCAGGAGTATAACAACTACTTTCACAATAAGTACTGCACAGTTAAATAGGAAATTAAACTTTCAAACCAGGAACATATTTTTTTTCAAATTTTGTTACATGTAATCTATTTACGTAACCTTTGTTCTTGACCTTCAAATAATTTCTGATGTATTGTGACCTGATTATAACATTTTCTGAAGCTGAGTATGTGTGTCTTGCCTAAAGTCACACACTGGGTTTCCATGTCCAAGAAAGGAATCAAACTATGGTCTCTAGAACTGTAGTCCAACTCTCAAAGCACTAAACCACATGGATCTCTCAACCTCTGAGGATGACTGCCATAGATGTGGGCAAAACGTAAGGAGAGAATGTTTCTGGAACATGGCCATACAGCCCGGAAAACTCACAGCAACCCAAAAGAATGACCTTTTAGGAGGAAAGCAGCCTGGTGTCAAGAAAACAGCAATTTGCATATACTTACAGCTTCCAGTTCCTTAATGTCTTTCTCTAGCTGCCTATTTTGATCATTCATGGTCATGATGTGGCTAAGAATAGACTGCCTGGGATGCATCGTATGATCAAACTGATGATACATGTTTCTCCAAAACCTGTAGATGGGAACCATATTGTTTTTTAATACATTAATCTGATGCCGGGGCATGAAAAATACATATATATTTTAACACTTACTTAAAATTAAAAGATACAGTGTCAGGCTCCAGAACTGTAAATGACTGAGAAAAACTCTCACTGTAGACAGGGTTCAGATATTTATCACGTTGCTCCAGGAGAAATGGCCACAGTGAGTAAGTCTTCTCTTTCAATCTGGGGATAAAAAGAGAGTTGAGCCAGTTGCTCTCAGCAACTGAAGAACTTATACATCTCTCTGCAAATTATATGTGATGCAGGGAAAATAGCCACAAGGGACACAGAACTGAAATGCAGCTGTAGTGTTGACGTGATTTTATTTTACCCTATCCTCATCCACCTCTATTATAAATTCAATTTAGTGCAGAAGAAGAACAAATTAATACTCTGTTGGAAAATATAATTTTCAGGCAGAAGATTTAAATAAGTGACATGGGATTGGAGGGGGCGGGGGCGGGGGTGAGGTTACATGCTCTTCACTCTTCCTGAACCAGAGATGGCATACAAATGTTGGTTGGCTGTAATTTCCATTAGGCAAGGCCAATACTGAGGGATGATGGGAGCTGTAGGTCTCCCCTGAAGAAGTTTATTCTCTGAGGAAGGTTTTGAATTACGTTTTGCATTTCACACCAACAAAACATGCTCTGCACCAGAGATATTAACTGCTGGCTGTGGAAAGACTCTTTGAGGGAAAATAACAAAACACTGAGATGCTGTATGGAACATACTGCTGGTTTAAAATCCCCACCTTAGCTCTTCACGTTCTTTTTGGCAGTTTCCAATGAAGTTTCCAAACTGGCATGAATGGACATGTTCATGGATCTGAAGAAGAAAAGCCTCGTTGTACTCAAAGGCTCGCGGAAACTGTTCTGTCAGGTGCCAGACGCTTTCTAAAAACTGGACAAACACTGGAGAGATTTCCTTTGGGTCACCATCCAGTTGGCCACATCTGTAAAACATATTTCAAAGTAATGAGAGAAAGGAAACTTCCCCAACCACAACAGATGACTGTTTGTGGGTTTATCTTTTGTGGATTTGATTAATATGTTCTTGCTAGAAATCTCTAGGTCCCTCAGACCAACTTTATTGTCAACTTCTGGTGGAGGACCTACAGTTCCCTAGTGAAGTGTTCTCTCAGCTAAAAACAAATTGTGGATTTTTTATTCACAGTATTTCAATTTTCAAGGGGATTTAGCACCCCAACAACCACAAAGTAGCGGGCCTATTGTACTATATGAGGATCATGAATAAAACATTTTATTTTGATATATAAATGTATGATCTAAGAAATATATTAGAAGTTCTGCTTCTCATTAAAAGAGATGTTACAAGAACACTTTAGGATAAAATTAGGAGAATACCAGACACCTACTGCTGGATAACCACGGGAGTACAGTAAGCTCAAGATACAGTAAGCTTCCACTTTCTACTTGTTTGGAATTAAACATTACTGGACAGAAATAAAACAAAATAAATCAGGCTTACTCAATCAGATTGACTGTTCTCTTTTTAACAGTACAGATAGCATTCCAAATCACAAATTGCTTTTTGGAAGGCCAATCTTATTCAAAAGCTGTAGATCATGTGATAGGGATGGGATGTTGGTAGAATGGGCTTCTTTTTGGCAAATGAATTTACTCTCAACATTAAAATTTTAGCTTTTTCTGTAACCGTACAGCCTGCAGACAATGTTGGCTGTGGAAATCTGGAAGCTGAGATCCACTATTCATAATTTTATTTATTTACTTATTATTTCGGACATTTATATCCCATCCTATCTTAACCTCCACAGAGGGACTCAGGGCGGTTAACAACAGGCATAGCATGGTGCCAAGCTGTAGAATGACTTTGGTAGTTTTGGGATCTGGGAGATTTCATATGCAAATAGTGCAAAACCAATATATGCCAAGTTAGGTACTCAATATTTTGTGGAGTTGTTTGTTAGTTTAAGGCTTACTTAATAAAAATACATAAAATGGAAACATCAAGATGGTTCCCTGGAGTGGGGTGGCAATTGAGACTTAACAAATATTTATAAATATACTAGTTGTCCCCTGTCACATGTTGCTGTGGCCCACATGGGAGTTGTGTGTGGAAGGTTTGGCCCATTCTATCATTGGTGGGGTTCAGAATGCTCTGTGATTGTAGGTGAACTATAAATCCCAGCAACTACAACTCCCAAATGTCAAAATTCTATTTTCCCCAAACTCCACCAGTGTTCACATTTGGGCATATTGAGTATTCGTGTAAAGTTTGGTCTAGATCCATTGTTGTTTGAGTCCAGTGATCTCTGGATGTAGGTGAACTACAATTCCAAAACCAAAGGACACAACCCACCAAACCCTTCCAGTATTTTCTGTTGGTCATGGGAGAACTGTGTGCCAAGTTTGGTTCAATTCCATCGTTGGTGGGGTTCAGAATGCTCTTTGATTGTAGGTGAACTATAAATCCCAGCAACTACACCTCCCAAATGACAAAATCATTTTTGAGTGAAGGACATACATTGGGTTGTTAGGTGTCTTGTGTCCAAATTTGGTGTCAATTCGTCCAGTGTTTTTTGAGTTCTGTTAATCCCACAAATGAACATTACATTTTTATTTATATAGATAAGGCAAACAATTATTCCAGAGAGGAAGCTCTTCTGCAGCAATTAAAAGTTTTAAATTAACGAATGTCAGCATAAAATGAAGGATAATATCGAGGAACTATAAGAAAGTTGTGCAAACTTTAAGGGAACTAACTGTTTGAGTTTACAGATAATAGGAAAACCTAAATCCAAGGATAGTAATGAGCTCGCTAATTCTTTTCTGCACCTTAATAACATCTTCTGAAGGGGGCTCATCCAAATCAGGTTAAAACCTAAAGTTATGCAAGATTATAAACATGCAGGTACACAATACAATGTTAATTGAAACAAATGACCATACCTGTCTGAAAATTTGTGTCCAAAAGCAATCCAATCTTTTTCTATCAAAACCTAAAAGAAAGTAAGTCACATATAATGTTATCTCATAGGCTTCAGTTTAGGTTTCTCCAGGCCAAATCTATGGCTTTGGAAGCCTTGTCTTGGTTGTTCAGAGCAGGACTAGAATAATCCCAGCACAAATAATTTGTTAGATTTCAAACTACTGAACTGTCAGAATTGCAACCCCCCCCCCCCCCCGCGCAACAAAAAAGGGGATTCAACCTACACTTTTAGAAATAAACACAGAAATCAGATCAGTATTTTTCAGCATATTGGGAACTCTGTTTTACATTTACTGAGGAATCACAAAGCAGTTGACCTTCCTTCTGTACTTCAGCTAATATTGGAATAATTATTATTTTGAAATGCAGGTTATATCCTGTGTACTACTACTACTACTACTAATAATAATAATAATGCTTTATTTATAATCCGCCTTCTCTCCCCGAAGGGACTTAGGGCGGTTTCCAAAGTATAACAACAATGACAAACATTCAAACATGCTACCCATCCGAAATGGCACTAGACATCTAGAATACTAACAACAGAGACTCAAAGGGTTAAGGCAAGGCAACGCCTCGGGGCTAGATGTGTTGGCATCTAATTGTTGCTGGTGGTAAGACGTCCTGAGCCCCCCCCCCCACTGTGTATGTGTGTGTGTGTGTGTGTGTGTGTGAAGAAGGACAGGATACAAATTGAAAAGAAATAGAGCGGTACAGCAGGAAGTGCCCTGATGCAGGACAGGAGATGGAAATGACAGGGGGAAGGAAGGGGAAGCTTCCGCTTCCAGTCCTGCCTCTTTCCCTCATTCCTCCCTCCTCCTCCTCATCTTGCATTTTTCACTTATTGGGAATGGAGAGAGAGTTGGGGTGTGCTTCTTTAATTGAAGGGGAAATGCTTGAGGAAAGGGGGGGGGGCATCGGATAAGCGAAGATCAGATAAGCGAGACTCTACTGTATCACAACAGCGGGCTAAGGTAGATAACCGATGACAAGGCAAGGATCTGTATAAAGTATGCCAGTCCTCCTCCTCTCCATAAGCTCAATTGTACAGGTAGGTCTTTAAAAGCTTTTTAAAGGAGAGGGGGTTAGTTCTTTAGGGAGGGAGTTCCAGAGGCGAGGAGCGGCCACGGCCCTCTCTCGTTCCCACCAACTGCGCTTGAGACGGGGTCAGCCTCCTCTGCTGTGGTCTGTAAGCGGAGATGCAGTTTTTCAAGTAGTTACTAATATAATTTACATATGCACTGAACTATTTTCTATATAAAGCTTAATGCAGAAATTTATTACACTATTGATCAATTGCCTAATTTAATTGTTAATAAAGCTGAACAAATTCTAATTCAAGGATGGGAATCACACAAGATGTTGTATGACTGCAACTCCCATAACTCCTAGTTAGCATAACCAATGATAAAGCATGTTAGTAGTAGGATGACCACCCCTGCTCTGGTTTACTAATCAACATTTATTTCAAAAATATTATCACTATACAACTACAAGTTCAAAGTAAATCTATTTTCCTATATTTCAACTAGCAGCAAGCAATTCAGTTTGCCTTGAATACCCACCATGAATCCTTTAATTGTTCTATAAAAAGGATCCAACAACAGAGAACCCAGGGAACAAACTTGAGATGTCCGGTCCCAGCCATCGGAGCAATGTACCAGCACACTTGCACTCTCAAAAGCTATGGCCTGTGGAAAGAACAACAAAACTTACTCATGTGTGCGACACAAGAAAAAATAAACAGTTCCGTTTGATTAAAACATACAGACTGATTAATTTTTCACAACTGTGTCTTTTTGGGCATGCAGGAACTCTGTTACTGTAAGATATATCCTTACTTGGATCTGATCTAACAATGCTGAAAGCCTTACAATCAATTGTACGAGGAGGTAAATGCATGAAAAGCTCCCATCACTTTCCCATCCCAATGCCAACAGGTCATCAGACTTATGAAGTTGGTAATATTGGCCACATTACCTTTGGAAAATAATTGGCAATTGCAGAGAGACCAGGCAACGATTTGTACCACTGAGCCCCACTGCTACTGGAAGCCTCCTAGCTGTGTAGCTTGAAGGTGGGATAGCCAGTCCTGAACTCAGGGTTTCTAATAGGGGCTCCAATAAAGTACCATAGCTTCTCCACTCCTGCCTCAGGAACCCAGCAGGATATTTTATATTGTGCTTAACAAATAATCAATTTAGTCATTACTGTTTTTTCTGGCACAAAGCAGAAATCTAGGGGCATTGATGTGACCTTCCACATTTGCTTCTACACTGGAATTACTAGAGAATGAAACTAGGATTTTGGCATACAACATATGTGCTCTACTACTGACTAACAGTCCTAACTCATCCTGGGAGCCACCCCTCCTCCGCCCCGGGTCAACATGGCAACAGATTGCAGTATCTTGGCAACATTTCCAAATTCACTGGATCTGGGGGCAGAGATAACTACTTTAGTAAGATAAGATATTGGATACTGGATGGGATGTGGACTTTTTGGGTAGGCTTGAAATATGAATGAAAGAATATATATTACTTTGGCTAAGAAGATAGCAGCATCCAACACGGCCTTGATGTGGCGCAGCCATCCAGAGTTCTCCAAACCAGAAAGGAAGTCATTAACCAATAGTCCTCTTGTCCCACAGACTAAGAAGGAAAGAATATCAGTTGTTAATCTCAAACAGTATAAAGATCAAAGATTACTTCCCTGATTTCATCTGGATTCTGTGAAGATATGAAAGAAGAGGGTGTTCGAATGAACAAGCTTGCATGAAATAAAAATGGGGATGTCAGTTATTATATAAAGTAACATTTTCAACCAGACAGGAAGTTCATGTATGTGTCCCCATTCCAGTCCATTCCTAGTCATGTGGTTTCTTATATGTAATATTTATTCATCTATTTTTGGCTAAATTACATGCTAAAATAGAGGTGCGCATTAGATTTGATGGTGCGTTAGAATCGCACACCTAAACTTGTCTTTGTTGTTGGGCAAGAGATCCCAGCTGGGGGCGGAAGAGGGAGAGGCAGCGGTGACCTCAAAACAGCTAGTGGGAAGGCCAGACAGAGGGACACAGCTTCCCACCAGCCTTTTCGTAGCCACCACTTTGCATTGCAAAATCATTCCTTTTTATTTATTTATTTTGCAATGTACACCTTCAAAACTTGAGGTGTGCATTGCATTTGATGACACATTATACTCAAGTAAATATGTGTAATTGCTATTTGGTGGGACAAAATGAATTAAACTGGTTTTTTCCACAATCAATTTTCATTTTGCAATTACAACCTCATTTTAAAGGGGGGACACTAATGGCTACAGAAAATGACCATGATTTCCCAGGGATTGAAGGACGCAAACCTGCCCTTTAAATTGTAGGTGCTTACTCCAGGAAACATCAGTGTAGCTACAGTAGACCCCAAAGTGTTTCTCATTTTGGGGAGCACAAAAGTAACAGGCAGTGACAAAAAGTTTACAAACAGTATTAAACATGCACATTAAGTTGAGAAAAAAGACACATATGGTTTCAATTAATTTAACACGGATAATGAGTAATATATTAATGATGAGGGAAAAACACAACTGCTAAGAGGCCAACGCAAGATTCCGGTTTCTAAAAATCTGAGCACACAGTGAAATCAAAATAAACACTTGCTCTCATTGAAACTGATGCTGTTTCCCATAGTAAGTAATTTGCATCAGTTCCTAACAAAGGGCTAATCAGCACAGCAACAAAAGGTATAACCTGTTTTCTATCTTTCTGTATCTGCAACATAAAAACATTTAATCCAGCACTAAAGGCAACAGGATCTCTAGTATGAACACAAAATCAAATTTTGCAGTCAAATGCTGCAAACCACTGAGAATAATGTGTATCCGTACCTTCTAAAAGCTTCTGCAAGCTGGATCTCATTACATGGATGTTTTCAATACCAACAAATTGGAATCTAATATTGGAATAGTTATCTTCATTTTCATAGCCTTTACCTGCTGCCCGGTTTGCCATTGCATTCAGCTTGAATAAAAATAAGGTAAATTAGGAAATAAAGCAACCATTAATTATCATGTTAATGGCATGTATTTTGACTAGCATATGGTTGAGAAAAAAGAAAATAATAGTTCCAGACCATACAACAGATATGTTTGTGTTGAATACCTTCTCCCAGGAAGGCCAGGTCATTAAACCTGTATTACATCAATTCCCTATGCTATGTAACATGCAGAATAAAGTTAGGAGGTAAGAGAGGGGTACCTGACGTCTCCTCACACTATAGTCAGCCCTCCATTTGCAGATTTGTCTTTTGCAGATCTGACTATTCACAGATGTGATTAAAATGTTCTAAGAATCTCTGGGTACGACAGTGCCATTCTATCATCAACCTCCACCAGAAGTTGACCACAGAGTCATGCTGGAGGACAAAGAGATTTCCCCCCTTTCATGGGGTCCTGAGTACGTAACTCAGACAAATGTGGAAGGCTGCAATGTCATGCACTGTTACAATCTCATGTTATGTAAAGTTGTTTCTCTTTCATCTCTTCCTAGTTTTACGATTCAAGGCAGCTTATAAAATTAAAAAGTATACAGGTCACATCACTAAAAACATGCAATAGTCACAATATAATTCAACTAGCAATAGTTATAAACAGCAAACATGGACATCAATAATAATAATAATTATTATTATTTATATACCGCTCTATCTCCCCGAGGGGACTCAAGAGCGGTTCCCAGGTAAAAATCACAAAACATACAAAGTAAAAACAACATAACCATAAGATTAACAAAACAAAATATGCATAAAAATTGTCACCAATTTTTGTCATAAACCCTTTTGTCATAAACAGTCAGTTCCAAAGGCTTGTCAAAACAAAAAAAGTCTTGTTTATTTTTGTTTTGAAATTTATTTTACTGTTTGTAATTATTACTTTGTTACTGCCTTCGTTTTATTGATATACTGCAGGCTTGGCCTCATGTAAGCCGCACCGAGTCCCTTGGGGAGATGGTAGTGGGGTACAAATAAAGTTTTATTATTATTATTACTTCACCAGCCACCAGAAAGACCAGGTAAGAGAATTCCTAACCCTGGGAGGACCCACCAGGAAGGTTGCTCCCATCTTCCCCCAAGATCTATCTGTTAAGAGTGGTGCAGCAAGCAAAAGGATCTCACATAACAATCTAAAACTCCAGTCAGGTTTACATGGTAGAATCCGGCTCTGCAGCTAACCTTGACCTGAGCTGTAAAGGGCTTTATACTTCATAGATAGTTCTAAGTACAAAAAGCATTACTGTAATCCATATATGCTAGGTAATTGGGTACAAACATTTCTCAGATTAAATATAGTATACCTATGATTCAGCAACCTAATATGTGAAGCAACACTTAATAGCAAACCCCACTGAAGCAAAGGATGTCCAGCCCAAGAATATCATAAAGTGCTGGAAATAGGCAATCTTCTCAAGCCTCCTCTGTCTAATGATTTGTCTGTATATAGTATGCTGTTTCAGTACTGAAGTGTATATGTGTTCTTTGGTATGCAGTTTTTCCCCTAACTCTATGTTCTTGAGGTTGTAGGAGGCACTGCAGACCATGTGACCAGATAAGGGACTGTTTAGAGCACAGTTAAAAGATTACAGTTGAATGATGACTGTTGAAGATGACAGTTGGAAGTAAACAGTTATAAAGGAGTGTTTTACAGAACTGTATAGTGTTGAAGAGACTGATAAAGATTGAAAGTTAAAGACACAAACCGAAATGTTTTAAAGTTTAAAATAACAAGAAATGTGCCTGTATATTAAAATACATGAAGTTGTGAGTAAAATATATATGTTATTTTAAAGAATTCTACTTGATTTTTTGTCTCCTGAGAGCATGAAACAGAAACAAGATATTTATAGGAGAGTCGATGTTTTTGATCACTAAACAACACTTCTGAAGATCTGCTAAATTTGCATTGGCATATTCTCTGTTGCTAATAGTTCAGAGTCACCTGGAAATCAATCTAGCAGCTGAAAACGAATTGCCAAGCATGAATACATGTGGATACCATTTCTTTTCTTAAAAAATATAAACATTGTGGTTTTCCCAATTGGTCAGAATCCAATAGGTTATGATCCTAACGGGTCATAATCCTCCATTTGGTTATGTGACCAGTGATTATCTAATATAAAGTTGTTCTGAGAGATATAGAAAAAGTCTATAGAGGAAACCAATTTTGTCGGGTGTGGGTAAAGAAACCAAGGATACTATACCTGCAGATACAGGAGTAATACTGTATTTCCAAAGTGGTTGACCTGGGATGGAACACAAAGTGTGATTTTGAAGAATACTACACTAAAGAAGTATTTTATTGTACGGGACATTGATTCCTGGCCAGGGATTTTAATCAATGAAGTCTATAGGAAATATATTTGCACAAGTGTACAAAAGTTACAAAGACTAGAAACTGAAGACTGGGTCCTAAGAGAAACTGTCATTTAACAAAAAGCACAGTTTGCAACAAGCATAATTCCATCATATTCCTTCTCAGTTCAGAACTATAGCATCGTAGCATCAAACACTGAAGGAAATATACATACTTTAGGCCTGGTGTCTACAACATACATGTAGTGATTCGTTGGATTGGTTTTACTGATTGCTTGCAACATATGCTCATCTTCCAGACATCTGGCACTGAATCCTGAAAGAGGCTGACTACATCTGCAAATGGCAGCCTAGTGAGAAGGCAGAGGAGGTAAACAGACATAATACAATAGGTCAAAATGAGCATTTTAAAAGACACAAATAACAGATGGAGCACTTAGTTCAGTGTTTAATTTTCTGGTAAATACAGCAAAATGTGAAAGCCAGAACTATGATGCTCTGTACTATGAACATTCAGTGCCTTCAGAAGAAAACTGAAATGCTTCATTGAGGTCCAGGTTCCCACTAACACAAGGGGATGCCCAGTGATGAAGCTGAAGAGCTAACAGAACAGATTAGTTTCCTAAAGAGATACAGTTTGCATTATATACATAAGTATATTTGCAAGTGTAATCAAATTTCATTAGTTTTCTCAAGACTCAGGCTTTCTAATGAAGCAGCAAGCATGATATTAGTTCTAGCTTCAGTTTTTCCCGAAAAGGGAAACTGCCCCCACACTTCTTAATTTTTCTGAAGAGCATGAGTAATGGCTACCAAAAAAGTTACGTTGTAAAGGTTCTATTTCTTACATTTTCACAAATTTAGTATAACAAGGTGACACCTGCTTAAGTGGTAATTAATTCATTGTAGCACAGCACTAGCAGCCATTTTTGCTAACTACAAAAGATCTATACACCTATGTTACTATACTTACCCCTTGTCTTTTCCTGTGTTGGAAAATGGCCTTTAAGCCCACTTGCACTGAAAGGAAATCAGACTATACCTCATTATCTTTATGATAATATGACAGCACAGGGAACCTTCCTTTGCTTCGGAACTTAGAACTGCCAACAATTATGGGCTTGCTTGCGCTCCTGGGAACATAAAGTTCTCTTGGATATGTTTCACAAATCTAAAAGGAAAAAAGAAAAGATCTGTAAAAAACTTTACACATTTTAGATCCAGCGCACAAACACTTACTGAAATCACAGGCAGGGGTGATCTTGTATGAAGATTTCATTTTTCCCCAGAAACAGATAGGATGGAATCATGATCTAGGTGAGCTTTGATAACAGGACAATAGAAATGCATCCTGTGAAAAGTTAATGAGGGAAATGGGATGCAGCTTCAAGTGCAAAGAACTCTATGCAATGTTTCATAGAGTTCCTGGTTTCCACTGATAGAAGAAAGGTTGTGCTCAGCAATGAAGCTGAAGAGCTAACAGAATAAATTCCATAGTTATAACTATCATTCTTGGAAAAAACCTTTTTGACCATATTTCCAATAATTGTTTAGTCAGCAGCAGCAGCTACTGGAAACATTGTAGGAATAACAAGCATCTATCTGCTATGATGGCTATAAGTAGTTTACTCAATGATGAGACCATAGGTCCTTCATATATAAAAGAACAAATAAATACATAAAAAACAGATTATTAAATACAATACGAGACACATCACTAAAATACTATATAAATCATTGAAATGATAGTTATAAGATTTGGGGAATTAAAAAAATAACTTCTTTCACCTTTGTGAAAACAGCAAACAGCTATAATAGGCTAAGTAACAAAAAATTGACTTTGCTCAGAAAAGCAAGTTAAAAGCCAGCCTTTAAAAGGTGTTTTCATTCAGAAACAGGAAAAAATAGGTAATAAAACAGCATCAAGTGTAATGTTAACTTTCACTTTGATAATCCTAGTGATTCATTGAGTATGGATTTCCGTAGTCTTCAATGTGTTTACAGGGTATTTTTCAATTGAAAAGTTTTTATATATTTTTAACAGCTAAAAAAAAAAAAAGCATGGATGATGGTGATGACAATAATAATAATAATAATAATAATAATAATAATAATAATAATAATAGACAACTTTCTTTGTAGACCGCCCTATCTCCCTGAGGGGACTCAGGGCGGTTTCCAACACATATGGCAAACATTCAATGCCTACAAAGAACATATAAACAAATTACATCAAAACAAAATTCATCAAACAATATACAACGAACCTAACTATAAACTTAATACCAAATAAAAATTAACAAGAATACAACTTAAATAACCCATAATGTATACAATTGTAATTATGACTGTCACCAATAACACCTCATTTTAAATTGAGTTTTTCATTAAAAATAAAATTGTAGGAGCTGGTAAAAGTTAATAAAAACTGAAATGTTTTTTTCTTTAATTCTATTAATTGCAGCTGTGGAACTGATAATCATCAAATTGAAGATAATGACAAACAACTTCTGGAGGATATTTGGATAAAAATGCTCCAAATTCCTCCATAAAAATCTGTGTATAGAACATGTAATGGAAGTCATTAATCGCAATTTAGTAACAAGTTTTTGTTAAAATACTGGAACAGAAGCAACGACAATTAGACTTAGGTGGAAATCAACTCCTGTCATTAATTCTATCTTATTTTTCTCCAAATACATCTTTAGACAAAGTTATTACATGACCAGAAACAGATTGGACTCTCCCCATGCCATTATTTTAGTATCAAGAACTACTGCTGCTCTGAATTGAGACTTCAATTCAAAGAACCTTGAAGGTGCCTATGGCCTCATCTGAAGATTATTCATCCCATACATAATGAAACCCATCCTAGCTTCAAAGCTAACAAGGTCCATCCAGCACCGTAAAATGATACAGAATTAGAAACACATGCACTATAAACCCTGACTTATTGCCACTTATTACCTTATAATCACGATTTGCATCTGATAATTGCCAGTCCGAGTTCGGCACTCCCATCCGATTGTACTCATCTGCGAGGTCAATGAGCTCCCAGCCTTGCACTCTTTCTGCCTCCTTTTGTTTTGGGTTGTATGAGAAGGCATACAGTTCATCATACCTTGCTGAAACAAATCAGGAAAAAGCAGAGGGAAAGGATTTTGATTCCTTACATTTCATTTTTCAGACACCCCCAAACTCATTCAACTTAATGCAGAAGGCAGCCGGCTTACCTGGTCTCGAGAGCTGAAGCAAGGAGTTATAGATATCATGGCAATCCCTTTCTCTGGGAACAATGAAGTGAACGACTCTGAAGTTCTTGCACTGGATCACCAGGGGGCAGCCTGAAGTAGTCAAAGCAAGCTTCTCCACTGCAGCAATATGATGGTGCAAGATCTGGAGCAAGCAAAAATCCATAAAAAATGACTGACTCAAACAGCAAACCACAACAGTGCTCGGTAAGATAACGCTCAGTGGCACTTGTATAATCCTTGACATTCATACATGAGCCATAATGTCTATAAGGTATATCATAATCACTCAAGGGATCATGCCAAACTTCTCTGTTAGGAATTTTGAAACTGCGAATCCTTTTCAATGGCCAATGTGAGGTGCACCCAATAGAATCCTTACATTTATCAACACATATACACTACGTGTCGTGTTACAATGGAAAGTCCCCTCTCAAATAAAAAAAATCACCAGGATGAATGGCAGAGTGGGGTGAAGTAGTAGCTACTATTTGAGAGTACAGCTAAAAACTCTTTTTGGTGCAAATAATATCTTCTGTTGATTCCACATCAACTTTAAGTCACCTCTGTCGCTGAAAGAGATGTCATAAGGCCAGAAGGGCAGTCATGGCACATGCTCAACAATATTGTTGTTTCAATATTAAGAGAAAGGAGGGAGGAAACAGAAAGACTACGTAGCTGTATATACTCATCGATTTGTCAATGGAGTCCCTACATTCTCTCTCTTGGTAAAGAATGCTTTTAATATATGAAATGGGAAAAATCAATGATTCCATACAATTGTGGATTTTTACTAGTTTTACTATCACACTATGTTCAGAATACTTAAAAATTCACTCAAATCAGTTTGCAGAGATATGAAAAGAAGAATACAATTTTTTGTCTTGATCTAGGGATGTTGAGCAGCATGCATGTCATTCTTTGATAGGTTTTGCAGAGCTTATCTCCACCTAGACACAGGAAATATATCTGGGCATCTTCAGTGGCTAAAGTTAGAGCCATGAAGTCTTGAAAAAGTGCACTACAGTGATGCACAATAGACAAGTTCATGGAAGCAGACACAACAAGCATTCGCTTTCACATTTCCCATACCTAAGGCAGCTAATAGCTATAACTCACTTACTGCAATTCAGAACAATTATTTCAGGAGGACTTGCTTACTTCATCTTCTTTGATACTTAAAAGATGCACAATGGAAAATGTAATCAAAGATGTACTGTACAAAATAATGAACTTAATATTCTCACCCATATCTCTTTCTGGTTTGAGTCAATAAATAGCAGGTGTGTAGCAGTGAGGTAAAGAGTTCCTGTTTGTGACTTGATGCTTGTGCTGAATCGGTCTAATAATTTTACCTGTTCAACCTATGCATAAAAAAAACAAGTTCCCATGAGCTAAAGCTATAAAATGTCAACTTGACATCACAATAGCATTCAAATACACATAGAATTGAAATTTCCTATAGACAAAGAAGACAGAGATGACATTGCAATGCATTTCATATTATCATTATATATTGTTTTCTAGAAATGAACCCATATATAACTATCCTTATGGATCTGCAGACTATCTTTCAGTTTAGACCACTAGTAAGAGCAATTTCCTTCTTCACCTCAAAAGGACAGTAATCACAAGAAAAGGAGATGGCTCATGAGTCACCTCCTGTTGACTTCAACCTCAAGTAAATGTGGCTCTTGGCAGAAATAATAGTTTTTCAACCCATCCTTCACAGTGGCGTAACACACATGCACTAAAAGTCTAACTGTCTAACTGCACTAACTGTCTACTGGCAGCGTATGGGGAGACTGTGCTCACTGTATAAATTATTGAAATAAGAGACTTCATGAACATCAATACATGTCATCATATCAAGCTGAAAAAACATGAACAAAACAACATGCAAAAACAGGGGTGATGTTATCAAGAATTAACAGATTCTGTTGTATGTTTTTGTCTTGCATCTCTGCCCTTCTGTATCTGCTAACATGAAGCAAAATATCTGATGTTATATCTATACCAATTTCACTTCATTGACTGTTTCTTTGGGGAATAGGAAGCTCAGGGTTCAATGCTGTTAACCATATGCTGCTGTAGAAGAAAATACTGACACTTGCTGACACTTGCTGACACTTGTGCTGACACAATGCTGACACTTGTGGAGGCACAAGCCATGTGTCTTCAATGTCTGTCCTGAAAACAGGATTAAGGGAAATCTATCCTTCTCACCAATTAAGAAAATCTTTCAAAATGTAGTCGCTGAGGGATGATCTGTTAAAGTATAGAACTTCATCCATTTTTCAACTTGTCTATGGTTTGCTTTATTTGAATCTCAACAGCACCCCAAGAAACCACCAACAAAGCTAAAATGTAAGTTTTGGCAAAGAAGGGCTCTTCATTGTTTCTTGGCAAGCATTAGTCTACTGTTAGACTTCTAACAGTGGGTCTGGCAGAGGATTCAAAATCACACATCTCTTTAGTTCTCTAAGTGTAGCAGAATCAGGGCTCTGGGGAGATAGCAGCAAAGGAATATTCCACATCAGCCGTGCAAATATTTGCAATTCCTGGATGCTCTCAGCATCAATGCTTTATCTGTACAGTTTACAGGAAATGTCCATTTGCTTTGAAAATTCTGCCAGTAAAAATGGATGACAATCCCATTGTTATATAGTTTTCAGAAAAGCAATATTGCTAATTTGTAAGAAACAAAAATGAAGATTTAATCAGCAATTTTCATCAAGTACAGAGTTTAAAAATTATCTGAAGACATTCAATGCAAACATATACGGCATAATAATTACAATTTTCTATGCATATAAACTGGATTGCGACAACATGTTAGATCTACAATGATTCCCCATTAATAGACAACTGCAAAACCCAATTACCCAGTTAACCGGCAATGATCTAGTCATCCTTCATGTTTTGGTATCCAAGTTACAGACTAGGAAATGATGACAGCTATTTACCAGATATTATTAGACTGCATCTTCCATCGTTCTTCATCACTGCTTATAGTGGCAATAACTGCTAAGAGCAGCAATCTATCAACATTGGAAAGGCTACAGTTACCTGCAATACTCAAGTAAATAAATAAATGAATGAATGTGTTCTCAAAAATGAGCTTGCTGTACTGGGTGTTTATGGAAGGCAAGACAGGAGAAAAAAATGAAGACAAGTCTTTTTATAGCATTTTAAATGCGACACAATTCTTTTTCTCCATCATTTATCCATGGATAAAATGTAAGAATGCAGCTTTGAGGATAATAATGTGTGGAAAATAGCTGAGAAGGCAGCCCAGATCTCTGACCTGATGGATTATCTGCATTTGTCAACAGAGGAATAGACAGCCCATACAAATACAGACTTAAGGAGTAGCAACTAAAGATCAATTTGGAATAAAGGTCAAAGCTGATGATACAGGTAAAAATAAAGGAAGCCATGCACACATTTTGTTTCTGTTTTTGAGATTTTCTAGAACAAAATTAATCACTGGGCAAGTTACATATTATATTGAACTAACCATAACACAATTTGATGTTTGATAGCTGCTTCAATTTTCCAACAAATTTCAAAATCTTCTTCAGGTTTACATTCTTTATTTTCAGTGTATGATTATGCAATTATCTCTGTGACTACTGCCAGTTCTAAGTGACTGTACCACTCACTGCACCTTCATCAGAACAGTAGCTTTTTAAAAAAATATGGGTGAATGATTTGTAGCTTCTCCAGATGTTACTGGACTACAAGTCCTATCATGGTCATCTTTGAATATGTTGACCAAGGCTTATGAGAGTCTGGGAACAACATCTCAAGGGCCATGTCCCAGTTCAAATCACTTTAAGCTTATGTTGCTTGAAAAAGAATTGGTGACTATTCCCTTCTTCCATTACATACAATGTTGATCAAAAACATTTTAAAAATATCACCAAAGACAACTCATCATGAGAAAGCACTGGTTGTTGATTCAGGTCTATGATGCTGACAGACTGCATGACTTAAGATCTCAATCAAGGTAAAATGAAGTAATAAATATTTGAAGAAGACTCTTATTGTCTTATCAGCCATAATCTTAGTTTTAGTTTTGTTATTATCCCATCAATTTAAACTTATTCCTAATGAAGAAACATTTACTACTATAGGTTCTGGTCTAAAGAACAGATGTAAAGCTTGGAAACTTTCTATTTGCCTAAAGGATCTGTTTACAATTTCTTCAATCAATTTAATAGTACATAATGTAATGTGACCCTAAAAAATACATTTTTTTTAAAAAAAACCTAAAGTTTGAATTGACATTAAGAAAGAAATGACAGTATTTTAAATGCTTACAGCAAGCATTTTTATGCTTTCTACTAAAAAGACCAAGAAGAGGAAATGAAAAAGATTCCAGAAAGTGCTTTGCATCTCCAATCATTTGATTTCATAAAGAGAAGAAACTCAGAGCCTCTCTTGGCTTACAGCCCCATCAGAAAATAGCATCATGCAATCTATAAGGAGTACATGAGAAACACTCAACCAAGAGAGACAAGTGTAGCTATTTTAACTATCCTGGATTATGGCAGTGAATATGAATAAGATTTCCATACAATCTGATGCAAGTCAGAAAATTAATGTGGATAAATTTATTTATTTATTTATATTTGTATACCATCCCTCTCAGCCTTCCAGCGACTCGAGGCGGTTTACAAGGCAAAATTAAATGCCACCAAAACCACAGTTACAATAAAAAAAACTTTAACATCAATAAAGATAACAAGTGCATCTTCAAGCAATTTCAGACCGGTTTTACTTTTCCACCAGAAAAGTTTATACATGGGGGAAAGTGCCACTCAAGATTAATGGGACTTTCTTAGCCTTCTGCCAATATATATGAAATTTACAGCATTAGTATATTTGTACAAAAGTGTACTGTATAGAGTTCAGCAGGATATGCTTGCAGGTTAAATTTGTATATGTTCAACCCTTTTGTCTATAAGAATACATCACCAGGAAGCCCTGAAGAGCTATTTGTTTTCTTTCTCACAAAGGACAGAAATAGTCTTGGGACAACTCTGTATGTACACATATGTATGTATCTGCATACACATCAACACACATACTTAAGAGACTAAATTTATCATCTTTCTTTCCAAGCATTCCTCTTCTTGTATAGTTTCCTTAACCAGAAATATTACCATCCACCTTTTTGAACATGCACGTTGCCATTGTTTTGTGTTTTGTATCTTCTTTCTCCATGGTTCCTTAACTTTAGTCTGTAAACCAGTCCTGCCACATTTTCTTTTACACCACTGCAAAATGAAAACTCTTCTTACCCCAACTTAAAATGCAGTCCATAGTCTTTTGCCTCCTCCCTGGTCTTCTGTTGCCTCATCCTTGCCCCCTCACATCTAACCACTGTCAAAGCAATCTTAATCTCATAATTCTGTTCCTTTTAAATCCCCAAACATTCTCCTCCAAGATTGGACATAAACCTCTTTGCATCCTTAGTTTCAAAGCCCATAGCTTCCTCCAATCTTTATAATCTTATATCGCTATACTGTATATCCAGTATACCTTCACTTCTTCAGATCCACTATTCTCTACTGTCTGAAGATCACTTCCCACTTTAAAAACAAACAAACCTGTATTTCTTTATAGTTTTTGAAACTACTTTCAAGAATGCCTCATTACAGCTTTCTTACTTTCTTCACGTGCCTTCGCAATGACACCTTTCTCATGAAACCTCTGGCATTATACCTGGTACGCACGCACACACCTACTAAGCTGCAAGTACACAGTAATATTGATGCTTAGCTGCATATTTCTCATGTAAATAAGGAAGCATATGACAATTCCTTCTCTTTGCCATTCCTCTAATCTGTACAACTTTATGTACAAACAATAAACTGTTCTCTAATATGGAATTTATTTCTGAATAAACTCACAGAGGATCAGGTTAATCTGATTACTGTGGACTAAGCTTTTATGGACTAGAGCCTACTTTCTCATGCCTCTGATAAAATGGATTCTACTGCTCAGAAGCTTACACTGCAGTGACAAGATCTAATTCTATTACAACAATGCTTTTTAAGCCATCACATGTGGGGCACCAGAAACTTATTTTCTCCCATCAACAGCTTTACTCAGGTCTATCAGACTCAGAGCTGCTGCTGCTGCTTCTCTTACTGAGTCTATCCATACTAAAACATGCCCTAGACAAAAACAAGAGCAGGGTCAGCTCTTGTTTGTATTTGGATGGGAGACAGCTAACAAATACCAGGTGCTGTAAGATATATTTCAGAGGAAGGAACTGGCAAAACCACCTGAGTATTCTTTGCTAAGGAAACCTTATGACATCCATGGGGTTGCCATAAGGAATATAGGGAAT